AATCGAACCTCAGTAAGTATTGATCCATGGAATGTTTAATGTTGAATGGGTCACACCTTTAAAAGAAAAACAATCGATGGACAATTTTTAATATCTCTAAATAACTTTTTTTCTTTTCTTTTTTCTTTTCTTTTTTCTTTAGGTATTTAGTGATCTAATTGAGACGGAGAAAAATTATGTCGCTGAACTTCAGAATAATATATCAACGTATCTTTTACCTTTACACGAATCTCATATGTATGTTTCTTTACTTTCTCTCTATTGGTTTATCTTGTGTAATTAATGTTTTGTATTATTCAAATTGTTATTTTACTGATTAGATTACCTGATGAGGAGACAAAAATGGCTATCGAAGCTTATGAGAAAGTAATCAAAGTTCATGATACATTTTCTTCTGCTCTTGAAACCGTTCGAGAGGAAAGTAACAAAGATATGAGAATTGGTGGTTGTTTTATGAGTCATGCTTCAGGTATCAAGGAAGCTCATTTCAATTTCTGTTCTATTCATCCTAAATTTGTTCATTTAATTGAGAAACAAACTGAAAAGGTTTGCTCCCTGTTGAAAGAGACACTGGACAGTAATAATCAATCTCAGCCTAACACCAATTACCTTATTCTACTCACAAGTGGACTCAGTTTAACTTTTCGACATCTTGATAAATATCCGTCTTACCTTCAAGAATTACAAAGGTACACCAATGATGCTCATCCTGATCGTGGGGACATTCAACGAGCTGGTTTTGTTTTCCGTGATCTGGTCTCTTCTTGTCTTCAACTTCGCCGACAAAAAGAGATGGAACTTGAAGTTATGCTTGGTAATGTTCGTTCCTGGCCTACAACTGGTGAACCGATTGGTGATTTAGGTCCAGTCTCTCATATGGGCCCAGTTACTGTTTTACAATCACCATCATCATCAGAAACTGTGAAAAAAGATCGCTACCTTGTACTTTTTCCTACATGTTTGGTACTTCTCTCAGTCTCTGATGAGATGACATCTTTTGTCTATGAAGACAAACTTTACCTGGTCAATGTAACATTACCTCGTCTTCCTGACATTCAGTCTACAAAGACGATTTTTCAACTTCTTGTTGCTGATCCAAATTCCGAGGAAACGGGTAAATACGTTTTATCCTGTGTTAACCCGGAAGATATAAGAAAATGGATCAGTATGATGCACAAATGTAAAAGTAAACTTGAATCCTCAAAGTGCTTGGAAACACCAATGAAGGAAGTTCGAGCTAGTCCAAGTCACCATCCCATTCAAGCACCTGAAAGCCCTTTATCATCAGCACTTACCGATAATAATCGAAGTAAATATTGGGCATGGAAAAGTTTATTACCCCATCCACCAAATCGTACATCAAGTTCTAGTAGTGATTTTGATGGGAACAATACGTTAACTCGAGACTCATTGAATAAGGTCAACACTAATGAGGATGCCAAACAAATGAACGATATGGCAATTCTACAAGTAATCGAAGCCTATTGTCAAGGTAATCGTTCAAAGTTAACCGGAACTCAGATTATTCAACAAAATCGTGATAATGATAAACATACTCTCAACAAAACAAATAACCATCAAAATGACATTTCGATTGATGGTAAACATGGATCCGAGTTATCGACTATTTTAAAAGAGATACGAAATTTAAAGACCGAAATGGAATCAATTACTTGTTGCCTGAAAAAAGAGACACAATCACGTAAAAGATTAGCGGCCAAAGTGGATTCACTTGCATCCATCATCTTCAAATAATTATAATCGTCAAACTAATTTAGTCAAAAATTAAACTCTTTTAGTTAAAATAGCAGATAATTTTAATCAACTTTCACTTTTTCTATGAGATTTTTTCATTCTAAATTTCCTGCCTGTTTATACAAATTATATACTAATTATCACTTTAACTTTAATCTTGAACTTGATAGTCGCTTCAAGGTTATTTGAAATTTATTGACAATTAACTAATTATTTATGCATATAAATTACCTAACAAATTATAAACATGTAACTTAAACTGGAAAGTAACTTCTCAACTTATTAATTTCACCAGTTAAATTACCTGAATTTTTATTTCTTTTGTTTTAATACTACAGAAAGAGAATCCAATCAATAAAAAAATTTCCTTTTCTATAAAACAATTCGATTCAATTTCGAAACAATCAAACTTTTACCTTCGATTACATCAACTACAATATACTTGAAATTTGTAGATTTGAATGTAAAAAAATTCAAACAAAAGTCAACTAATTAGTTGCTTGTCAAATCAATTTACTCACCTTTGAGTCCATAGTTTGAAGACGACAAAATGTACAATCATACGAAAGGTGAACATAAATTTTGATTGACATTTGATTTCGATAATGTGATAATTTTGCTTAATATCGAAAACTGTACAATTAAGACCTAAAAGCGCCGATTTCAAGAGAGATTGAACAAAATGTTTGATAAACTTTACCTTCGATTGTTACATCAAATTCAGACCAAAGATCGGGATTTATACCGTTCGATGCAGCACATCCATATTTACCATTGGCAGATCGAGAAGCGTTTGAAATTATTAGTTTATCATTTGATTGTTTAATATTAATCATCAATCTATTGTCAATGTTTGTCCAAGTTGCACCTGAAAATACAAGAAATTGAACATTATTAGAAATGAGATCAGGACTGAACTTTTAAACTCATACCTTGTAGTCTCTTCCATTGAATTCTTGATATTGGAAAACCTGAGACAAGACAATTAACTTTAATTGTTTCACCATGATGAGATTTAATATCTCTCGGTTTTTCAATCCAATTGGGTGGACCTAAATAGACAATAACAAGAACAGTTAAAGATGTGACCAAGAAGAAATTTCAATCAGAATTTTACCTTCAACAACAAGTTCAGTTGTATAAGAATCATGACCAAACCTATTGGACATTTTACAAGTATAATTTCCCGAATGACTTGAAGTAATCGAATCAATAATCAACATCGATGGATCATTAGATGATTGGATTCTAACGAAAGATGAATCTTGTAAAACTGTTCCATCCTTTATCCATGTAACATAAAGAGGTGAAGTACCAGATGAACTTTGACATGACAATGATGTTTTACCTGAGAGCTTAGGTTTTATCAATGGAGCAAAAGGAGCCACTTTTGGAGCTAAGAATAAATGAAGAAATTAGAAATTAACAATTCGGATAAATCGATTTACCAATTACTAACCTTCTTGTCCATAGCTTAATCCAATTGATACGATAAATAACCAAACCAAAGTCAAAGACATTGTGATTAGCAACAATTTAGATTACCCGAGAGCAGATTATTACAGAATGATAACAATTATGAACCTCGAAAATATTATTTACACATTAGATGAAAAGAAACATAAAAGCGCCGATTTCAAGCAAAATTTAAAGTCCAATTTGTATAAACTTTACCTTCAATTGTTACATCAAATTCAGACCAAAGATCTGGTTTGATTCCATTTGATACTGAACAACCATATCGACCATTCTCATTACGAGTGACATTGGAAATAATCAATTTATGGTTAAATTGTTGCAGATTAGAGTGAATAAAATTATCACCAGCAATAGTTTTCCATGATGAATCTAAGAGATAATAGTATTAATAATATTGGATCAACGAAAATGAGTCGAAACAAATTTACCCTCAAGTCTTTTCCATTGAACCTTAGGTTTTGGATGTCCAGAGACAAGACAATTAATTGTAATTGTTTCACCATGATGAGATTTTATGTTCTGAGGTTTCTCAATCCAATTTGGAGAGCCTTTAATATGAATTTAAAATTGTCAGTTAAACTAAATCAATCATAAATATCCAATGATTACCTTCAACAAGAAGATGAGCTGTATATGAATCTTGGCCATAAGAATTTGATATCTTGCAAGTATAATTTCCTGAATGACTTGATTGTATTGTTGTGATAATTAACATAGAACCATCTTCATTGGTTCGAATTCGTATTGTTTGTGAATCAAGTAATTGTTTTCCATCTTTAAACCATGTAATCTGAAGTGGAGGTGAACCATAAAGACTTTGACAAGCGAATGATGTTTTACCACCGATCACTGGTTTTACTATTGATGAGAATGGAGCAACTTTAGGACCTAAATATTAACGAGAGGCCAAAAAGGAAAACATTAGAATCATTTTCGATACTGATTGTGGTGAATATACTTACTTTCTTGTCCATCTACAGTGAGAATTAAACTGAAAGTGGAAATAATTGTTAACAATCGAAGCATCTTTTCATATAATATGGACATTTCGATATTATTAATAATATTACAGAATATGATTTAAGATGATTGTTAGATTGTGACTAATGTTAAAGAGAAGTGAATTAACCAATGGTAAAGGTTTTTCTCATGATGAAAGCGCCAAGTTTCAAGTAAAAAGAATGGAAAAAGTTTAAAAGAAAAGTTCACCTTCAATGGTCAAGTTAAATTCTGTCCAAAGATTAGGTTCTAATCCATTTGAAATTGAACAACCAAAGATTCCGGAATCATTTCGATTTACTTTAGAAATTTTTAATCTGTTATCCTCAATTTTGATTCGATCATTGAATGAATTCAATTCTATCCAAGAAGAACCTTAATAAGAAAAGAGAAGTTTTCAAAAAGTTAATTAACATACACAATTAGATTTCTATACTAACCTTGTAGTCTTTTCCATTGAGTCTTTGGTTCAGGATAACCTGATGCTGCACATCTCATGATAACTGATTGAGATAATTTAAATTTCATACTTGAAGGTTTATTAATCCAATTAGGAGGTCCTAAGGTTATGGGAAAATATAAATTAATATCAATTAAGTAAAACAAAATACAAACAATCAGCATGATCAACAATTTACCTTCAACCAAAAGTTGAGTACTTTGAGAATCGTGTCCATACCTATTGGTTATCCTACAAGTATAATTACCAGAATGGGTTGATTGAATTGTATCGATTATTAATGTTGACACTTCACCATTTGTTAAAACTTTAATTGCTGGTAAATCTTCAATTTGTTTATCATCTTTCAACCAATTTATTTGCAATGGTGTTGACCCAGTAAGAGATTGACAAGTGAATGAAGTCTTACCTCCGATCACTGGTTTAACTAAAGATGTGAATGGAGCTACTTTTGGACCTTTTGTTCAAAATTTAGATGATACAATTAATTGGAAATTAATACGACTAAAAATGATATAATCAATACTTACTTTGAAATCCATTAACTTGATGACTTTGGAAAAGATAAAAAGTTAGTAAAACACCAAACATTTTGCTAATAAAAGGTAAATACATGATGATCGTAATCATTTGCAATGATCTGTGTTGATTGTTTACTATTTTCATCTAATTTCTTGGGATCAAATGAGATTATGTCAAAAATATAAAGCGCCAATTCCAAGTTATCAAGAGAAATTTAAAGAAATACCTTCAACAATCATTTCAAATTCTGTCCATAGATCAGGTTGAATACCATTCGAGGCTGAACATCCATATTTTCCTTGATGATGTTGAGAAATATTGATAATTTTCAAATTGTTATCGATCTTAATCATATCATTGGAATCAATTGTTTTCCAAGATGAACCTTGATTATTTAAGATGAATAAAAAAATTAGAATTCGAAAGAAGGTCACAATAAATGTTCACCTTTAAATCTTTTCCATTGAATTCTTGGTGATGGATAACCGGAGGCAAGACATTTGATGTCAACTGATTGTCCATATTTCAATTTTAGATTAGTTGGTTTCTCAATCCAATTTGGTGAACCTTTTGATTGTATTATTAAGAAAAACTAACTAATAGTTAAATGCTTAGGTCAAAGAGTTCGAAAGTCATACCTTCAACTAGCAGTTCACTCGAGTAAGAGTCATAACCAAATCTATTTGAGATTTTACATGTATAATTAGCAGAGTGACTTGATTTGATTGAATCAATGATTAACATTGATGAGTCCTCATTATTACGAATCCTGGTTTCTATCGAATCTTGAATTTCTTTGTTATTCTTGAACCAAACAATCTGAAATGGAGATGATCCCGTTAGAGATTGACAAGTGAATGATGTCTTCCCACCGATTACTGGTTTAACTATAGATGAAAATGGAGCTACTTTTGGACCTGAAAATACAAAGATAATCAGATTACCATCGATTTAATTGTTACTTACCAACAATACTTACTCTCTTGTCCATTTACTTGGTTTCTGAATAAACAGAAAACAATCAAAGTGAATAGAAACATTTTGTCCACCAAAACAATTATCAATCACGATTATATTACAAACAAGCTTAAAGTTTCTGTTAATCATATGTTCAATATTTTCTTTGGTCAAATAAGATTATGTCAAAGTAGAAAAGCGCCAATTCCAAGTGAAATTACATAGAAAATAATATTCAACAAATACCTTCAATGGTTATGGAAAATTCTGTCCATAGATCAGGTTGAATACCATTCGAGACAGAGCATCCATATCTACCTTGATTGTTTCGAGTGGAATTGTAAATTTTCAAATGTTGTCCAGAATTGTCGATTTCATAACTAATTGATTCCATTTCAGTCCAAATTGAGCCTAAATTGTGTAAGAATAATAAGAAAATATCAATCATAAATTACTATGAAAATAGCGGATAAAAAATCGTAACAAATTATTTTAAACTAACCAGTTAACTTTTTCCATTGGACTTTAGGTTTCGGGTAACCAGAAACAAGACATTTAACATCAATTAATTGTCCATATTTAACTTTTAAATCATTGGGTTGTTCAATCCAATTAGGTGATCCTGAAAGTATCAATAAAAATAATTTGTAGAAACTTGATTGTTAACAAGAACGAGTTATTTTACCTTCGATTCCAATCAGTATAGATGTAGAATCTTGTCCATAATTGTTACTAATTACACAAGAATAGTTTCCATTGTGTTTAGCAGAAATGGGATCAATCACCAATAAAGATGAGTCTCGAGTTAATTGTTCAATCCTGATTGTTTCTGTTTTCATTACAACTTCTCCATCTCTGGACCATTTGAAATTCAAAGGTCTATCGCCAATCTCAGCTGTACAAGCAAAAGATGCTGTTCCTCCTTCCTTGGGTTTAGATAATAAAGATATCTGGCCAGCCTTTGGAGCTATTAAATAGTCAACAAATTAGTCTAATTGAAGATAATCAATGACAATGTACTCACCGTTTTGACAATTAATTGTATTACTACAAGTAAGTAAGACAATGTGAATGATCACAAGGGTTAAAGAATTGATTTGAATCATTTTGCTGTAAGAAAATTTTCTGTTCAAATCAACAACCGATTGAATCTAAATTACATCGATATGAAAAGGCCTCTGCTCAAGTCTCATTTACAAAATTAAACCGCGATCTCTGAATTACCAGAGTACAAACCATTTCCCTTAATATCTTACCAATAATATCAATGATAAATTCATTCCAAAGATTTGGTTCGAATCCATTTGATATCTCACAACCATATTTTCCCTGGAAATTTTTGTTAATCGATTCAATCTTAAACTCATCATGTGAAACTCTGAATATCGACTGATCATCACCTAAAGGAATCCAGTTAGAGCCTGTAAAAGTTCAAAGGGATAAGATTAGAAAACTTTAATCCAATTGATCGAAGCTAAATTAAAGTTACCATCAAATCTTTTCCAAATAACTTTCGGCAAAGGATAACCCGAGGCAGAACATTTCAGAGAAACAGTTTCTTTGTTTTTCGCTTTTATGTTCGGTTGTTGGAATCTCCATGAAGGTGAACCTAATTAACCACAAAAGATGAAATTTGATTAACCTTGAATACGGAAATAAATGTGCTAATTGCTGATTGTTACTCTACCTTCAACAGCGATCTCGATAGAAGGTGAATCAATACCGAACAAATTTTTAACACTACAAGAGTATTTTCCATTAAGATCAGATTTCATTGGTTCTATTTTGAGGATAGACGAATCTCCAAGTTTATCGATCCGAAATGAAGCTTCATTAGTGATTAGTTGATCATCTTTGTACCAATTAAAGTCAAAAGGAGCTTCTCCAGTATCGACCAAACAAGCGACAGCAGTTTTACCTCCATTTTTTGGCTTATGAAGAAAAGACAACCGAGCCTTGGGACCTTTAAAATTCAGTCAATGTAAATACTGTTATTGTCCAAAGAATAGAATAGAATATTTAATTTTGAAGAATAAAAGAAAATGGTGACTTACCCTTTTGACACGAGAATAAATTAGCAAGTAGAACGATGAGAAAAACTTTAAGAATCATTTCCGAGTCTGGTTATATGAAACGTTCAGGAATCAACAATAAGATAGATTAGGTTGTTATTTGTTATTCTCTAGATATTTTTTGGTCTGCGCTTTAATCGAAACACTCGAAACCAATTGGATTCAACCCGCCAGGTCTAAAAATCTATTAGAAATAAAAAAGAAGTAACAAAAAATGGAAATTGAATGAAGAAAGTAAAGAAAATCACTGAATAGATTCCAGAATTCAAAGAACTAGAACTTCAATTCTCAATCGATCAGATTCCAATCAAGCCAATAGTTAGTTGAATTTACACTAATCACAATCAACAGATAATTTAAATTTCTCTCACAATGAGACCATTTAACAAATTAAGGAAATCACACTTTTCAATGATGAGTTTCACTACCAAACACTTTATGTGATACCTTCTGGTTGGATCTTCTGAGTCACATCTTGGAATAAATTTTGAAAGAAACAACAGAAAATTGATTAAATAGTCTCATTAGAATCGCCGAGTGTTAATTATTCAAAAAATATATAAATCAATTGATTAATTGTGGAATTGCGTTGAAATTATGATGAGAAAATAGAGAAGAAAAAAAGATGACCCGAAATCAATTTTGCTCTCGGAAAAGAATTGATAGAAAATCAAATTTACCGCTGATACTTTATTCTTATTGAAGATATGTAATCCATGTGAGTATCTAAATCCGATACAAGAAAAAGTTTCAATTTGAAAGTTTCAAACTCAATTTGGACTCGATTAATTCTTTGTCTTGATTAACTTTGATTAAGACTAATATTTCATTGGTTGACAGAAATTGAAAAGTCCAATACAGGTGGAGAGAATCATTTGAGCCAAATTAAAACGTTAATTTTATAAAGCACAATCAAGTTTAAGAAAATTTTTTCAGCAATTCGCATAGAATATTTAGTTGTCTTTAAATTGACGTTAAATTTGAGTGGCTTTGGACATGAATTCGAAAAAAAATTTCGAATTTTCGAAAACACTAAAAATTGAAAAATTGCAAAAATGTTATTTTTTGACTAAAATGAAAATCGAAAATTTTTATCTTTCGATTTTCGATTTCGAAAGCATGTCCATCTTATTCTCCGTGTATGAAAACAGATATTCATCAAGTTTTTTTTCGAAAAAACCTAACCAATTTCGAAATATTCGAAAAAAACTAAAAATTTGCGACGAAAAACCCGAAAATCTTGTAATTTCACGTTTTTCAGTGTTTTCGAAAATTTGAATTTTTCGATCGATTTTTTTTCAGAAAATTTTCAAAATTGATAGTTTTCTACTCAGAATTAAATTCTCTATCTTAAACATGGAAAATAATTGATTTGCTATGATTAATATTCAAGAAATTAATGATTAAATTTGGCTCAAATCTTTCTCTCCACACCTGTAAGTGAACATTATAAGATAATTGATAAGCTCGATTAGTAACAATTGGAAAAAAAATAATTACAATCATATGAAAAATAATCTTTTTGCTAATTTAATCATTGGTTATTGTTAATTGTGATTATCTAACTTTACTTAATTGTACAATGATTCCAACACTTAACATGAGATTATTATCATGGTAAACAAAGATAAAGGATTAACTTTTTCTATTATATTTTGAGTTTTAGTTGATGAGAAAAGTTAATCAATTGATGATAATGATTTAAGTTAAATTAATTGTTTGGTGGTATGGTTGTTACATTTTATTGGTTATTCATCTGATTGTTTTGTCACCTTTGTATACAAATGATTAATCACAAATAACATCAAGATAATTATTTATTCATTTGTTCCAGATAACTGATTAGATTCAGTTAATTGTTATCGTAAAGTTTAAACATTTGAACAACTTTAATTGTCATTTTCATCTCGATTATATTATATTTTATTTTATTTTTAATCCAATGATCAAGTGTCTAGAGGTTAATTGAAAGTCAAGTTGCTGTCTAATTGTTGGTTGTTACAGAGATTGACAATATTTATCTTGTTTACTTTGATTGTTTATGTTGGTCAACAATTTCAATCAACTTTTCATTCAAATTATTGTAACTTTGAGTCTCTCTGATTTTCTTGCTAATTGATTGGATCCTTTCTGCCAATTTATGATCAGCCAAAGTTTCATCGATCGCCGAAAGTAATTCATCGCTAGTTACTCGAAGTGGATGGAAACTCTTGGCGAGTTTTTTATCAATCACTCGACGACCATTATCATGTTGATCACCAAACAAAGGTAAAACCATGAAAGGTTTACCAAAGTAAAGAGTCTCAACCAAACTGTTGTTACCTCCATGGTGAATTACCATGTCCACTCGAGGCATAATCTTCATTTGATTTAGAAATTGGCTACCGGTCATATTTGCTGGTAGTTTAATCTTATCATGATGAATACCCATGGATACAATGAACTTGTGTTTAGATGAAGCAAGAATATCAATCAATCGGGTTAATAGTTGATAGTTGGATGTTCCCAGAGAGCCAAGAGTAAATAAAATTACTTTGCTTTCGGTGTTGAAAAAGTCTTCACTGATTCCAAGAGGAGCAGCATTATCCTCAATCCGAACCATGTGATCTAGACGGAACCATTTATCGGGAACTGGACCAAATTCTGAATAGTCCAAATCCTCTGGATATGAGTACAGATTAAGATAAGGTGATCTACCCAGAACAGTGAAATCAAGATAATCCAAAGTTTCCATGTCAAGACCTTCACTGGAAAAGTAATGATTAAACTTGACCACGATCTCTTTCATACAATCTTTGAGATCATCTCGAAATCGTTGAATCTTTTCCGGACCATCGTCGATTCCAAGTCCAGATGAATAAGATGGACCACCGACTTTCCAATAAGGTAAAGTTGGACTACAAGACCATAGTAACATATAAGGTACTCCATGTTTAACGATTGCTGGTACCGTAGTCCAATGGTCAAAAATGATCAGATCTGGATTGATCTTGGTCAACAATTTCTCGTATTGTTCATTACATTTGATCAAAAATTCGAGGAAATAATCGTGCATTGGAACATTTAAATGCTTGAACTTATCCAATGGTTCCATTTCATAAGTTTCATTTCGCTTATCCATAAAAGTACCAAATCCCGACTGTGGATCGACATCCTTTTCATATCCAGAGATCTGAACCGATTCAATAGCAAAACCATTGCCTTGGACCGTCTTAATCCAATTCGTTGGGACGATAAAAGAAATCTCATGCCCAAAGGGCATCAAATTTCTGGCCAGTCCAACACATGAATTCACATGACCATAGCTACCAAAATTCAATGACAGAATTCATGTTAACAAAAAATGAAAACTTGGACTTTAAATGTAACAATAAATGTACTTACGCATCCATAGGAATGAAAACAATTTTCATCTTGAGTTCGCTTTGAAAACAACTATTCCTTTGTATAACTAATAACAATCAACTAATTGCTTGGAATGCAGAATGTTAATTGTGTTTGGTACAGTCAGACCTCTCATATTTAAACGAAACGGGTGGGTGAACCAGTAGATGTCACTAGTCAGAATTGAAGAGAAAAAGTTCCGCAAGATTTGAAAAAAATCAACTTTAATAATTATGATCGACCAGAGATGGAATATTGTAAGAATTAGTATTCAAATTACTAAGACCAACATGTGCCCAACAATTAACAATTGTGTCAGATTTTACATCCTGCCAAGCAAGATTAGCAATTCTAATAACTTTTAAAATATCAAATCGTTTTACCTCTTGTCTATTCCAAGATCCAATAGATGGAGCGTTTCGTTTAAATATGAGAGCGTTCAAATATGAAAGTGTTAAAATATGAATTTTTTAGCTCCTGATAAACTTTAATTTAATTAACTTTACTGTGAATTTAAAATTGAATTTTATGTTATTATTATTTATCTTATCATACGGATCAAGTTGATACCAAAATTATGATAGTTCAACAGTTACTTTAGTTATTTTGTTACTCTAAAACTGAGCTATTATTGCGTCGTAATAACTTGAACCATTTTCTTTTCTTGGTAAGTTTTGTTGATAATCTGATTCAATTTTCTTTTCTATTTCTTTGATTAGATTGAAATTTAATTTTATTTGTTTATTATTATTTCTTTTTTTCGTTTCATACTTAATGAGTTAACCGTTTTTTGACTTTGGACAATCAAACTAACCACTCAATTAATAATATTTATAAAAGCCTAATGGATTTGTATTGAAAGGACTCTAGTCCATTTGTTTTGAAAGGACATTTTGTCCATTTATTTTGAAAGGACATTTTGTCCATTGTGACTAAATTATATTTTAAATTTTATCTCAAATTTGTATTCGGCCTCAGGGAGAAAATTGTTAATTATTGTATTGTTTCTTTTCCTCATCAATTATTCCTTCCTTGTCCCTCTTTCCCTTTCCTGGTACGGTCGTCATTACCGGAAACGATGAATTTTAATTCATCGAAGCCTCCCCTGAGGCCGCTGTTAAAGCTTAAAATAAATAAATATGAGAGGTCTGACTGTAAACGTTTTTACTTTCACAATTTAATTCTCTCTAGGTATCGGCTCAGTCGCCATCTAGAGGAATCTAAATTGTTAGTTAAATACAAATAAATCGCAATCAACCAAAGATTATAAGTTTCTAGACAAATCTTTTCATAACGAATCAAAATCAATACTTATCAACATTTCAATCATTATGAATTAGTTAAATATTGATGTTCGAATATAAAAAAGTTAATTTCATTAGATGAATATTACTTATAGAACCTAAACTAATCAGAATCGAATCAACAAAGTGACAAGAACATAAGCTAATCCTGTTCGAAAAAGAAAATGATAATCATAAATTAATATTTTAAGAAGATTAATCTACTTTAAGTGCCATTGTACTTGATTTTCTGCTGAATTCTAACCCGATTTTATAACCGTAATTATGAAAAATGGGAAGAAATTTTATCGAAAATTATCTTCGAACTAATATTCACTCAGATTAGGTCGAAAATCAAATTATTACTCAAATGATTAAAGTTAAAAATCTTTCAATTGGTAGATTGGTACAATAATTAATTTCAATTTCCATCATGAAGAATTGTTATTGACTGATTGTTATTGATTGAAAGTTTTTGGCACAAAAAGTGACACTAATTGTTTAAACCGCAATAAGATGAGCAATTAAATTTAACATTAAACAATAATTTACTATTTTTATTGATGAACTTTAAGAAGAAATTAAATTGAAATTTTTGATTGTTCATTTATTAGATATTATTATTCACCGCAAAGTTAATTATTGAACAAGAGAGACCACAATTTAGATCAATTAAGATTTCATCTACCGGATGGACGACAATAGGCTCGAAGTTCATCAAAAGAACACGATTTTTTGCAACATTCATCTGAAGCACCTCGAACATTTCGAAAGAAAATTTGATTGTCATTGTTAACTGATCGCTTACTTGTACCAAATAATGAAAGAGCTGCTCTGGTGTCCATGAAATCGTCAGATTCTGAATCATTATCTTCAAGATTAAACTTTGAGTGTAGAGACCAAGGTCTAAGTTCTGTAAGAATTATAATCAAACGATTGGAAATTAGTTATATCATCATCACCATCATGGAGAAGAAAAAAGAAATTAAATCAATCTAACCTTTTGATGTCCAGGATTCATCATGATAATTACGTTTACCAGGCATCGAACCAGAACAAACTAATTGAATTAAGTTCATCAGATTACGTCCACAAGTTCTAACTTTTTGGGATCGAAGTGCACGTTGATTAATATACTCTGAGCCAGAATTTGATTGTGGATACGAATAAATCAGTGGGAGTAGAGTAATTAGTAAAATAATGATAGAGCATTGAGAATATAACCAACGAGTAATTTGAATCATCTAAGGATCAAGAAATTAAACATTTAAAGAAAAACAAAATAATTTATTTCATATTTCATATTTTCTTCATTGAATAATAATAATAGTAATCAATTTGAAATTGAACCTTTTACCTTTAGTAATTAAGTTCCTAAATTGTTATCTGGATAAATATAGAGATGAAATTGACGATAATAGATATATTGATAAATCCAATGATTAACACTCACAATTAATACACAATTTGATTGATTGAATCACAAACACATATTCAGATATTAAATGAAGATAATAAATGATAACACTTGACAATTAACGGTTTAGTTGTTGATGTTTAATTGGTGGCTGATCAATTTATAATGAATTGATACATAGATTAATTTAATATAAATATCTAACCAAAGCTCTCAAAAACTTTATAAAACTGAAGGTGATGAGACAAAAAAGTTTCCACTCTCACTCTCAGAATAACTCATTCCACCCACCATGATTGGGGTGGCCTTTCCCTGCGTCATTTACAATGGTTGTATTAATTTTTGACAGATGACGCATAATTGTCATTCTCATAACTTGATTAGCTTTGACACCTCACCTACAATTAATTGTGAATGAGCAGCTAATCAGACAGATATTGATGATGTTACAACCGGAACAACAGATTAGTCTCACTCCTTAAAGTTAATCCTTTTTTTTTAAAAAAAAGAAAAAGTTGATCTGTGGAAATATTAATCCAAATTGTAACTATTAACCTTGATTTGGATCATTTGATTGGAAATTAATCACATCAACGAGTTATTGATAATGATCAATACAGTCTTAGATCGATATATAAGGTTCTAATTTTTTTTCGAAAACTTTGATTCGTTCATCAGAATTTGATAGGAAAGAATTAGTTTCTTAAGTTAGTTTTTCTTTGAGTAGAATTTTTTTCTCGAGCGAAAAATTCATTCTTGAAATGTTTCATAATGTTAATTAAACGAATCAAACGAAGTTTCAATCAATTTACTTTAATTTTTGATCGATTAGTTAAATTATAAGGTTTTACAAAGATTGTGATTAACTCGTGAAACTAATACAAAGATTTGAACATTAAGGTGAACAGTTTATTTATTTTTATAAGTTCGAGATTGAGAATGCGTTTTCTAGTTCGTTTAGTATCAAATCAATATTCAATTTGTGCTGGAAATGTTTTCAATTGTTAGCCAATTGATTGTTCATTTTGTCTTGAATCTGAAAGAGTAAAGTTTAGTTGTAGTAGAAGAGCTCATTGGGTAGAGAAGAAAGTTCCAAATCTTTTTACGTTTGGGTGAGCTATTGTCCGAACAGATAGCTGATAGTAATGAAAATTATTCTCATTCAGAATCGAGCAATTTCTTGAGTCTTTCATTTTCATCTCGAAGATTTTGTAAAGATAATCGAAGAGATTCATTCTCTTTCTCCAGGTAACTCGCTCGAAGGACAATCTGATTCTCTTTCAGTCGACGAGCCTCTCTAGATCTTTTAGCAGCCATATTATTCTTACTTCGACGAGCCCAATATCGAGCATCTTTCAATGTATCAGGTACATGCTGTTTACGTGATTTTCTCATTATTGGTTGAGGACGAAGTTCATTTTCACTGAATCGAGCATTGGAAGGGTCAAAACTTGCTTCGCTTCCAGGTAGAGTGGCCAAGGCAATATCCAAAGAGCTATAAATAACATCAAATAGTAAACATACAAAATTCTGAGCATATTCAATGAATCATATGAAAAGAAAAATATTAATACTCAGACTGAATAATGAATACATTAAAATTGAAAACCTGAGAAGAAAATTTCACATCGAAGAAACTTAATTATCAATCGGCTTATTGTAATTCCAATCAAATATGATTAAATTGTTGTAATCGTATTGTTTTTGATGATATTACAATAAACATTTACATAAACAATGGTTAATAAATCATTAAATCATTTAATCATAAACATGAAAAATAATATTTTCACCGAAAATCATAAACATCATTTAATGATAATCATAAATTGAAAAATTAATTGATAAATTATTTGATAATAATAAAAATATCACATATTATATGAGATGAATACTCATCCCTAAGGGTTTGATTTGATTTTTGAGTAAAAATTTTAATTCACTGTTAACCTTATTGTTGTTATTAATTTTTTGTTAGCAAATTAAATTTAATCCAATTGAGAATCGGTTGTTTTTCATTAATACAATTTAATGAATACAAACAATATTAAAGTAAACAGAGTAAATCAAAGTTGCAATACAATTAATTGGGTAAACATTGAAGTTGAATGTTGAGTTAATTTGATTTTGTTTATCTCTTTGATCATAATCAACTAGTTGGAAAATATTTTTTTCGTTAATCAGTGTAAATAAATGAAGATTTTGATATTTACCTGAATTCAATGTTAATTTTTTGCTCCTCTTTAATGATATTCATGTAATTGTAATCAACTCCATTCTCAATGAGAAACTCGTCCAGATTCATTAAGTAACTGCCATTGCTACAACTCTAAATTGTTGTAATCATCATAATCAATGATTAAATAGAAAAATAAATGAAAAACAAAAAGATATTAGATTGATTAAGTTAAATTGTTTGGAATGGTGAAAAAAGTAGCAATCAATGATTATTTCAATTGTCTCAATCACAAGAAAATCAATTAATATTAGCATCGAAAGCTTAATTGTTACACTTTTAACAATATGTAAAAAAAAGATGTCCTTAATTGTGATAAATTATAAATGTTATTTGAAAGATATGAGAAACTGTTTAAATTGATTGATTGATTGACTGAATGGATTAGTTGATTGATGATTAAAATTAGTCAAGAATGAATTAAGATAATAAATCAATCCCACCTCAGTTTTATCGATATAATTTTTCATTTTTGATGATGTTTTTTACTTTGTTGTGATTTGTAAATTGTTGATTAAAAATGAAACTGTTTAGATGAGATTAGAGTCTAGAATGATCAATATAATAGGTAAAAAAAGAGATGAGGATGGAGATGAAGATGAAGATGAAGATGGAGATGATGAGGGTAAAGAAAGATGGAGAGAGAGAGAGAGAGATCAATTGATTTTAAACGTGATTATTGGTTAGTTCAATGAGAAAATGAGAGAGAGAGCAAAAAGTCACGTTGATTTGATGATAATCACAATTTAAGTGACATTTAGAGGTTCTTGATAGAGATGAAGTAAGATAATTAGGTTGATCTCTTTCTTTTAAAAATCGTTCTAAGATTATAAATGTTTACCTTGTGCCTTTGACCTGTGAAAATTTCCTCCGATTCTGGATTATCTCTAATTCATTGGATTTATGATCAAGTTAATGTTAACCAAGATAATTCGTATTATTAATACTAATATTTGAAAAGTTCTGTTGCTCTTGGAACTCCGGGATTCTGATGGATAAAATGTTCTCGTTGTGTCCATTATCTTTAATTATGGTGTTTTCTTTTTCTCTCTCAATTCATTTGCAATCACATGTTGATGAGATGTGATCATCATCTTGTCTTGATTTTTGGTTCCATTTTGCTTTTCAAAATTGATCAATTTCACCCTTGTAATTGTTAACCAACTTGAGGTGATAAAAGTTTAGATTCATCGGTTGATTGTTTGATTCTTATGGATTCATTCACATTTTCCTGAGAAGAGTTAGATTTTTTTTTCGTCTTCAGCAATCAGTCACTGGATTGATTATTATTATTATTATTAACCCTGATGCCAATTAAATTTAATTCACTTGGAAAAATAAATCAATCGATAAGCCAAAAAGATAAATGAAAACACCATCACAATCACTTTTCATCTATAACTATGTTTCCTTTTACTTTCAAAGTTAACTGTCAATCCAATCAAACCAATTTGATGCAACCTAATTATATACAAAGAAATGGACAAGACATGATTAATTGTGTGAATTAAATATTAAAATTAACTATAATACTTACATGATATTAATAAGATCCAATTAAGCTTAACAACAATAGGAAAAGCCAAAGAGGAAAACAAAAACAAAACTGTAACCATAGATTTCTCAAGTCAATTTTAAATTAGAAAGTCAAGATTGATGGACCATCATTGTAGGTGAATATCAATTTTTGGAAATACAGGAAAGAGTTGACCTTTCATGGGAATGAACACAATTAAGGAATCTAAATGAATCTAAAAAAAGACACAAAATTAATTAATAGAAATACAATTACAATTTGTTAAGGTGAACCGATCAGGATTCAAATTGATTTGAATTGTTGATTTTCTGGTCACATTGGGTTACCATTAATTACCAAATCAATTGATTGTTAAAAAGGATAATTAAAAGATTATAATTAGGGTTTAGAATTCACAATTAGAAATTAAATTAAAGGTAAACAATCAACGAAAATAAAGAGAAAAGAAAATGTTATTTGAATTAAGTTTCGTTTTCTTTTCATTGGTTGTTTGTTTACCAATCGTTTCTCTTTCTTTTTCTCTTTCTTTTTCTCTTTCTTTTTGGTTTGTTTGTTGTGGATTTTTATTACCACCGGTTTGTTGTTCAATCGTTTAGTCATTTTTTTTTACTTTCAATTGTTTAGTTAATTAGTTACAAGAACAATTTACTCTTAATTAGAGGGAGAGGGAGAAGGTTAAAAAATTTTAATTTGGTGTTAATTCATTTTCTGTGATACTTAAAAGGTAAAATTTATGTGAATGAGAAAAAAAATTCTCTGTTCTTTTCTCTCTCTCTCTCTCTCTTCCTATCTTATGAATTCTTCCCTTATGTTTTGTGTTTTCTTGGTTTTCTTACCTTCAAAATGATCTTCTCATGGAAAGGATAATCTAATCATCTCACTAATCCACATCTTCATTCTCTTAATTTAATCTTCAATTACTCTAATCTTGATTGGACTCATCATTTTGGAATAATTTTCATCATTCCATTCAAATTAGAATTGGAGTTACATTATCCAATATCCAACGTCATCTTTTTTTTCTCTCTCACTCTTGAAAAGAAAAAGCTTATCGACTCATTGAGACTCATTTGTTTGAGAAAATCTTTGTAATTAACTGATTTATTTGATTGTCATCATCAAAAATGGTTCACAGTCACGATATTCATAAGGTTAATCTATCAGCCTTAAGTGAAGAAGAGCGAAATCACATTCTTTTCCATGAGAAACACCGAGGACATGAAGGTATGCATGCGATGATGCTATTGGTACTAATTGTGGCCACTTTTTCCGTTCAAATTGGTCTGATTGCTTGGAAAAAGCGTCACATGAAAAGTTATCAAAATTTTTCAATGTTCGCCATGTGGCTATTACCAATTGGTATTTCCATACACAACTCATGGTGGCGATTTGTTGGCATTTGGGCCTCATTAACAATTCTCACTGTAGCCTTCATTTG